AATACCCTTTGGACTCAATGGACGGAGACTCTCATCTGTAAGTCCGGCAGCATACACGCAGTCATTTGTAGCTAAATGTACACCATGCAATTTCTCACACTTACAGTCTCACTCCTTCTTCTCAGCCTCACACAATAAGCTCCTCTGTACCCATCTGATCCTGTATTTCTTCATACCATCACTCCCATATAAGGGCTGTGGCGTCACTGTGAACCTCTTCCCTCCTTCCCACAAACAGATGATTGGCAGCTCCATTAAAGAGAAAGGCGAGCAAAAGGATTATGACTGTACTCCATGCTCTGTCCTCTGCCAAGTACGCAGCTACACAGATGTATGAATCTCTATCCTCATGTCCTTACGTGGACCTCCAAATAAACTGAGCTGCCAAACATGTTGGAAATTTGAACCAAAGAAACCCACACAAAGTAACACACACGAAAATTATTATCCTTTCTCTGTCTGCGCATGTTTTAAACATTTTTCCTTCTCTCATTCTCTTTTTCTATGGGTTCCACAGCAAGGTTACCTCTATCTATTCAGCCTGTTAATTCAATAAGCATTGCAGAAAAAGCAGGATCAATTGGCAATTTTTTTTTAAATTATCAAACAGGTTGAAACCCGAGGATATTTTATGTGGACAAGGATGTCCCACTCTTTATACTCAGATGAATATCTGTGAGATATAGAAGAACGTGATTACATGAGAGGTTTAAACTTTAACAACACTTAATAATAATAATAATAATAATAATAATAATGGATACTTTATTGATCCCCATGGGGAAATTACTTGTTTTTCTCTGCATTTGACCCATTCACTCAGTGAAGCAGTGGGCAGCCCACTAAGCAGGCACTGCTGCAAACAAAGATTGAGATTAATTTAGTTGGCCAAAGGATTAGTCACTATAATAAAAACAGAAATTTGGCTTGCATGGAAACACTGTTTCAAATTCATTCGCATAGAATGATCTCATCATGGTGTTGGTCTGTGTTTTTGTTTTTGTTTTATATACTGCTTCACCTATAGCCACCATGGTCTACCTGCTGTTACTGAGCCAGCTGTGAAGGTCCAGCTGACCTGTCAGGACTAGAGATTATCCAGCTGTCTGCAGCTCTGAGGGAAGCGCATACATAATGACAGTTCAACAGGTTTGGTACTGAGTAGGATGGCAGGATTGGATGACTTCCAAATGTTGTAAAGCAGAAAGATACAAGACATTATTGTTCAGCACTATGCAAGATATGTGCCTGTAATGTCGTCTGTAGCAGGATGTCAATGTTGGCTAACATAATCGATACAATATATCTACTCACCTTGTCATTAAATGAGAAGCTTTCCCTGCAATTGCATGCTGTGGAAAAACAGCCACTGGCACTCTTTCCTTGTGTTACTGGGTTGCTTTGATTACCAGGGGAGATAAGAAAGAAACACTCATCAATAATGCAAAAACGCAATTAATGACTTCCCCACTTCTGACGGATCTCCCATCCCGGACCCCTGCACTGCTGCAATCCCCACCCTGACCCATCCCCGCACGATTACAGACAGGAACAAGACAAATATGGAAATGGGAAGCCATTTCTTAACATGTGAAAGGCACAATTTGGATTCCGGCTTAATGCTTTGTTGTCAGTGTCACACCCTCTCACATCGGTCCTAAATCTCCAGACCACAGTAATTGATGTGCATTACTTCCCTTTGCCTGCACTACAATTTGAATCTCAAACTTTGCTTTACTGAAGAATTATGCTTGTTTGCATTCTGAATGCGTAAACAAACACCAACACAACTCTAATTGCTTGTGTAATTGCAAGAAAAATTATAGGTTTGGTACTTGCACTAAATTTGAGCCATTTTCAGAGGCTGGTGAAAACATGTTTAAACACGTTTCAGGATTTCTGTGAATACTGACAGTATATACTAAATTTCCAGGCTATGCTGAATTAATTTGAAAAAGTAGCAGTTCTTGAGCATTTTACCCATGCAGTTTTTCACTCACAAAAAATGTATAAAAAGTCCCTCAGTGGTTGTCAGGTGATGACATTTCATCTCACCACCTGTCGCACACCATTTAACAGAGAATTTAGCAAGCATGAAAACAATTTCAAATGATGTCTGAATAACATGTTACTCATTGTGTCAGGACTGGTATGAAGATGTGTCTATCCAAGCTCAGCTCACCGCGTATAGGCTCTAAAAATGGTTGTGCTGATAATATTTCTACCCAGTGATATTAAACATATTTAAGTCTTGCTTTCAAACCAGCAGAGATCAATTATATATGGTATATTTTATATTCTGTCTCCTAAAAAAATTCCATGTTGATGTAAAATTAAAAGCCATTAAAATGGTCAGATTAATTGACTTCTATAGCCTTTCTTCCCCAAACTAACTGCAGATATAGCCTTATCTTTTTCCAAATATGTTCAGTGGTGTGCTTCAGTCCACGAAAACAAACATGTATCCTCGTCACGAATCCTAAACTTTTCTCTATTTTCTTTTCTTTTTAAAAGGGTGTGTGCGTGTTTTGTGTGCAGTGAGGAGTTGCGGGGGGAGGGGAGGGGCAGACGCTCTCATCATCATCATCATCATGACCATCAATGAGTAGGCTCTGTAGCCTTCAGTGCAACGTGATAAAAGAGTACTCCACCTACGCTGCTGATTGGCGTTACGCAGGTATCCAGCTATTATTTATTACCCCAAAGCCCAGACGCTTCATTCATCCGGACTGGCTCTCACAGCGGGATCTAGCCGATTCCACTCTACTTTGCACTTGGGCGCACTCAGCTGACTTGCCAACCGCATTATCTGCTCGACAGAAAACAGGTAAAAGCTAAAAAAAAATGTCTTAATGCTTAAAAATGATCTTTAAAATAACATTTAAACTGTTATCTTGTTGTGAAAGAAGATAGTTTAAGGTTTACTTTAACTCTTTGGTAACGGAACAGAAAGAAACACTGCGTAAAACTACTGTCTTTGATCAATATGAATCTGTTATTTACTGATTTTGAAAAATTCTCTTCAATCTAACTTTGTAAACAGTAAATTGTGCGTTTTTACGCACCGATTGCATCGTCCCTTGTGCGCAGTGGGTTTCTTAATGAAAATGCAATGAATTTCCCCATTACGAAAACACCTTATAAAACGAATTGTTTTTGCACAGGCGACACCAACAAGATGAGAAGAGGTTTGCTACTGGTGACTTTTTTCCTCGTCATGGAATTTCGCTACAGCCGGTGCAGATGCGACGAGCCCGGATCGCGCAGATCAACTTCAGATGTAGGTTCCCGGGCACGTAATAATAATAATAATAATGATTGCATTTATATGGCGCTTTTCGGGGCCCTCAAGGCGCTGTACAATTCCACTATTCATTCACTCTCACATTCACACTTTGGTGGAGGCAGCTACAGTTGTAGCCGCAGCTGCCCTGGGGCATACTGACAGAAGCGAGGCTGCCACATCGCGCCAGAGTCTGAGAACATCTTTTAGAATAATCAGATTTTGTTTTATTCTTCTCATTATTGCAGCAGACCATAGGCTTAGAGAACTTTAAGCGGAACATCCTGAAGAGATATAATGACTTGGATTATGACAGCTTTGTGGGTCTGATGGGCAGAAGAAGTGCAGGTTAGTGTTTTCGACGGGCGAACATGACCAGTTTAAAAAAAAATATAATAATACATACATACACACACACACACACACATATATATATATATCTATATATCTATATATATATATATATATATATATATATATATATATATATATATAGATAGATATATATTGATATTGTGTGTGTGTGTGTGTGTGTGTGTGTGTGTGTGTGTGTGTGTGTGATGTATGATGACAGTAATGCTGAAGCTATAAACTGAAGAATAAAATATTTGCTGCAATGTTTCTGAAAATCTCGCCGGTCTTCTGTTTTTGTTTTATTTTCTTCATCAGAGGCTGACGCTGAACAACCATCCCAAAAAAGTAAGATTTTGTAATTTACTTATGGCGTAAAACGACCGTTTAAAATTGTCATGAAATATTGCATTTTGCTTTTTATATATAAGGGGAGATGGATGACATTTTTATTGGACTTATGGGACGGAGAAACGCAGAGACTGGTGAGTGTATGGCAGGTGTCTAATATCCATGTCCTTTTAGCTTTGTCGCCTTTCATATTCATGTTTTCTATGTATATGTTACAGATAATGGTGCCTGGAGGAGAGAGTATCCAGAGAGGAGAGGCATTTTTCTCAACAAGTGCAGGCTGAGGTGAGTGCTTCTTCCTTATTCTTAAACAGACATCACCAAATGTCAGCTGTTTAGAAAAAATAAGTTAATGATCATCCTGCATAATTAAGGATAAAACCGATTTCAGACATAGAACTTCGGAAGATTTGGGGTGTTTTAAAAGGGACTGGTTTATGCAAACCATCTGCATGCTTTTCATTTCTTAAAGTAAATCTCTACTTGTAGTTCTCACAGTGGATTTTTAGGGTACTTATGTCCATGTATGTGTTTTGTTTTTTTCCTGCAGGTTACTTCAGGGACTGTAGACACTGAGAGTTACTTTCATTTGGCTACAATGACAGAATGTCACCGAGAGCATCAACAGCAAACCAAATGTCTGATAGAAACAAAAAAAAAACACATGATTCCCACTGTACCTGGCTTATGAAAGTGACAATGTACCAAGCATAATGTACGGTTTTATTTGGAGACAAAGCATAATTAGAAGTAATAAATTCTATTTCTTTATCATGTCATTCTTTTTCTTAAAGTTCAAAATAAATGTAATTTTTATACATAATTCATTCATTTAAATGTCGGTGCAGTTTCCCTTGTTGTTTAAGTGATTCTTCAAGCTGTTGTCTCATGTTGAGACAATACTGTTCAATCACAGTGTTGGGTTAAATAAAATCAGGTGCTCAAACGGTTCAACGGGGGGTTTCAAATATACTCTGAAAGGTGAAAAGAAAACACTTTATTTTGCATTTCTGAAACAAACATCATATCAAACATCCTGGCTCTGGTTTTAAAGCGTGTGTTAATTAGATTGAGTTACAAACGAAATTTAAACAAAATTAATTTATTAACTTGAAGCATTTTATGCCAAATTACTTAATTACTCACAATTAATAATAAATGTCATACATCTATTGCTTTTTCCTGCATAACTCCAAGCACATTGGCTGTGACAATAAATTCAAACACTGATGATGTCAAATATAATTAAGGCTAAACCAGATGTTCATATTGTTTGAACACAGCTGAGACACATGTAGCCTCCACTCAAACATCTCTTATCTTTAACAACTCACTCATGTTGTCATACTCAGCAGAAAAGAGTTGTTAGTGCGCAGTAAAAGGGTTATCTGAAAAAGTCATACTTTTCACCACAGTTCTTCTTGACTAATCACAGAAGGAAAGTAGCCACAGGTGCTCCTGATGTAGTTTCTGATGGCGATCAGACACACTGCAGTTAAAACACATTCAGTACCATCTAAAAACACAACACAGCTAATACAATACAGCGTTTTATTCGACTGCAGTCCTGTTCACAGTGAGATGGGAGTTTAAATTCTCCGTCTCCTTTTCCTCTGTCACCGTATCCTCTTTGGTTTGGTTTCCATTGAGAGAAAAGGCAACAGTTGTGCGATTCTTTCCGTCCTTCACCCCTCGAACTGCTTTAAGTCCCGCTGTTACAGCCGTCTGCGAGTGTGGGCTGACATTCAAACCATGACGTAAAGAGGGCTGGTAGCGTGGAATATAACCATACGCTCTTAGGTGGTAGGTGTAGTACTCCATCACGTACATCAGCTCTGCTTCGATATAATGAAACGATACAGCCAGGTCTGAGCAGCACTGCGGACCCTAAGGAAGAATAACACGTAGGTTAAAAACATAAACCACACACAGAACAATAAAAAGCAACTCACTCAAAATATGTTAACACTGAAGTATTCATATTTTTACTACATGAGTAGCAGTCACCGTCCATAATCACATTGATAGTCATTGCTATTGTAAACCACTGAGTTTTGCTTTAATGCCCACACCTGAGAACATGATCAGTAATCGTCCTTGTACAAAGTGTACACTGCTCTCTGCTTTCAATCTCTGAACTGAAATGTAATTTTCAACAAAATATTGGATTTAATAAAGATAAATAACCACATACGGTCCAAAGAAAAGAGAGTGCTGCACATTAGCGCTGCCACTAACGATTATTTTGATAGTCGACTATCAGATCATCATCCATTGGACGTAAAACGTACAGCTTATTGCACCAGCAGCATCTGCTCTTATATAACTATCATTAGCTTACAGCTTTAAGTGTTTAAGGTCTGTGCTAACTAAAAATAAAGACAAGATGATAGTTTGTTAAATTTTAATGAAATGTGCAGATTGTTTCGGTGAAGTTTAATAAACTCCTTGCTATCTAAACTATAACAGGACACCGGAGTATATTCTCCAGCATCTCACACTTCTGATGATCAGCTGTCTGGTTGACGTTTATTCAGCTGTGTAAAAACTATAACTTTAATCTCAGCCAAAGCGATTTACTCAAGAACAAATAAAATACTAAAAAAAGCCAAACAATAACATTTTTAAGTTATCTAAGTGACTCATATATATTTAACCTGAGTAGCGAAAGACGGTGGGGGGTTTGAACACGATTTGCGGGGAGTCCGGTGTTCTCATGGCTCTAGTGAGCCTTGTCCCCGGGTAGCTATCGAGCTGGTGGGTAACAGACGTCTCCGAAAACGTCGGAGCGCTTTTGAAAATATGCGGTGTCTTGATAAACTGAGCAGATATTTGAAGTTTACACAGCTACATTCTCGCCTGAAAATATGTTAAATGTTTATTTTGTGACCCAGAAAGAATAATAAGAGTAATATTAAAACTAACTACTGTTTCATAAACGGACACATGTTGTCACAGTTTTTCCTTTTCATTGTCTGAGGAAAAAAAAATAATAATTGTACTTTTAATATTTTTAAGCCACATTTATGTTCTTATTACCCTTTAAAAAATAAAAATAAAGCAGCTCCATACTCAGGCAGACAGCACTTGACAGCATCAGTAATGAACCTGCCTCATTTTAATTGCAAAGTACAATAGATTAGTTGCATCATCAGCAACAAATTGACCAATTTTCCCCTCATTCGACAGCACATTGTCTGTGCTGCAATCGTCTACTTTAAAATGAACACTTTCTTTTTTCCAATTCAATTATTGTTTGCAAGGGTCAGGCACACAACTTGAATGTGTTAGATACTCACATATTCATTTATTTTAGTCAGTACTCTTCTGATGATTCATTTAAATCAATGCCTATGTTTCTAATTCAAAGTAAAATATACAAAACATCAGGCAACAGTTTTTAAATGTGATTCTAAATAATTAAATAAATAAAGAGATATAAATTGGTCAGAATTATTGATTATTCCTTCACATGTTCAGAGACCCTGCTCGGTGCGATTAAATCTGTTACTTGGTTAACTGACTAATCCTGCTTCGGGTGATAACTGTAGATGAACTGTAGGTTTGGAAAGGCTTACGTTTCACTCAGACATTTGGTCTGGAAATCAAAGCAAACGTTCCACTGAATAGCTGGATAATTTATTTACTTATTTATCAGTTTATTTAAGTATCACTTATGAACAAGTGGTCACGTTTTGCAACACTCTTTGAGCCAAGTAGTTTTAACCACTTTATCCTTTAATTTATCATATTAGATTTGTGTCAAGCATACCTTTTCTTTATTCAACCTTTTGAAGCATGGTGTCACCTGTAATTTGTAAAACTGTGCTTTCAAAGAAGTTTCCTCAACCCTTGATTACTTGGATTACTGTGAAGGTAGCATTAATGCTCAACAATATACATCCATTAGCCACTTCATTAGATTTCCTTGCTAGCGGCATTTAGATCTGCCTTAATACTGGCATATATTCAACGAGGTGCTGGAAACATTCCTCAGAGATTTTTCTCAATATGAACCTGACAGCATCATGCATTTGCTGCAGATTCATGGGCTCCGCATCCATGATTCTCATGTTTCACCACAGTGTTCTGTTGATTTGACAGATGCCATCAGAAGATAAATACACTGTGGTGATAAAGGGATGCAAATGGTCAAAAATAATAGTAATGTAGGCTCTGGCATTTAAACAATGCTCAGTTGGTGCTGTGCCAAGTGTGCCAAGAGAATATTCCTGCGATACAGGCAGGATGGGACCATACCTTCATGTTGCTATGGCAATTTCTGACCGGACCATCCGATTGTCTTAATGAGCCTGTGCGAGACTGTTTTCTGTTCTTAGCTGACAGTAGTGGCAACCAGTGTGGTTTTCTACTGCTCTGGTACATCTGCTTCAAGGCTCAAGATGTTGTGCGCTGAGAGATGTTCTTCTCCATATCTTGGTTATAACAAGTGCTATTTGAGTTACTATCTGGCTATTCTCCGTTGACTTCTGCATCAACAAGGCATTTTCACCCAGTGAACTGCCTCCCACTAGATATTTTCTCCTTTCTATGTGAACTGTACAGATGTTTATGAAGGAAAATTCCAGTAGAGCAACAGTTTCTGAAACACTTAGGCCAGCCCATCTGAAACTGTCTTCCCCATTCTGATAGTCAGTTTGAAAGTCTCTAGGTCATCATGATCAGGTCCTCATACCTACATTCACTGAGTTTCTGCCATGTGATTGGCTAATTGACTGCTACAGTATGTGTGGCCAAACATATTTTGGAGCAAATTATGTTGCCATCCAAAGGAAGGCCTTTTTTGGTTTTTAAAGAAAACACCTTCCTGGTTTCAGTCAGAATATTGTCAAACCAAATTTGCCAATATTCTGATTGCATGTCTCCATATTTAAAATGTTAAACTGGCTAGCTTACAAGTCCAGATACGCCATCGATTGAAAAAGTTTGGCATGGTGTGACACTAAAATTCAAAGAAGGGCTTGAACTGTTGAAAAGTTTTCTATATAAGCTGGCCTCCTTAGTTCTAAAGCAGTTTTGTTAAATGAAAACATGACACCACACAGCAGTAAACATGTTCTTGATCCAACTTTTTTTGAAAGTTTGTATGTGCCTGACATTAAATTCAAAATTTGATTATTTTTCTAAATTAGGAACTTTTTAGTGTTAGCACTAAATATACAGTCTTTGAAGTACTTTCAGTTAAAGACTGTAAACATTATTGCCTATATGACAGTAAGTGTAACTTTCACTAAGAAAAAAGTGTGTACACTTTTTTAAATGAAAGACCTCTGTCACTTGAATGGAAGACATAAGCTAATGACATTAAAGGATTTCTAATTTAAGGTTCAGTCCGTCATCAGCATGACGTCCTAACCTAACTTGCCCCTTTCTAACAAGGTTAATCCACTCACTGTTTGTCTGCTTTATCTACGCGCTATCTGTGAACTGGATTTTAGAAATGGCCTTTGTATGAAAAGATTTCTTTGTTTTTTACCACCACAATGTGTAAGCCCATTTCACTATTACTCGCTCAAAAATAAAACTAATGTGAGGGGACTTGCCTCAACAATTGGGTAGTAGCAATAGCTCCAGTACCAGAAGCTCTTGGAGAACTTGCCAGTAAGATGGTGCTCTGGCACAAATGGGTGAAAAGTTTCTCGTTGCAAAGTGTCTCTGGAATCTCCTGCCAGAACACCCATCTTCTCCAAACACTGACCGAGAGCTAGGTCTTCCACAGGGGTCGTGTGTGTGCAAACTTTGGTTCGAAAGCCTTCCACAAATCTTTTGAGGGCTTCTTTACTGAGTACATAACCTGCTCCCCCACTCATGTAGCCTTGTTTGGTATAAGGTTTGAAGCGCTTGCCAAAATAGATTGGTTCTTCGGAGGAGTGGTTGGACAGAATCCAGCGCAGGTTGTCCACTACCACATAGGTGTCATCATCCGCTTTTAAGAACCAGTCTGCTTCATTCCCGTGGTGTTCGTAGACATAATGGAACGCTCGAATGGTCTTCCAGTAGAGCTGGTCACGGCCCTCCTTTGTCCCCAGGCCCACAGTGGGGAAGTCAGGGTCGTCCACAGAGCTCATGAACACGACGATGTTGCAGTGCCGACTCCAGGTAGCCCTGACATGTTGGGCCCTGCTCTGCAGGTTATACGGCCCCGTCATCACCCAACAGAGAACACGTACTTTCTGATACAACATATCTGCCACCTGGCTGTCTTCATCTGGAGGGACACACGACAGTATATAGCAGTGTTAACTGGTATGCAGTTGACCTGTTGCATTTGTCATTCTACAAGCCACACCACACTCTGCTTAACACATTTGGATACATATGCAGTTAGTTCCCTTCCACATCCTTTCAGCTGTCATTATTTTGGCCATGCCAATTGGAAGTAGCATGAAAGCAATAGTGGAAAAAAATCCATATATGCATCACAGTCCAAAGCAGAATAGGTATTATCATCATTATACAGTCTAAAGTAGACTTGGTGCTATTTCAAGTCCGTTGTGTCTGTAAACCAATCTCTAAACTTTAAGGCAAAGTTCAGTCACGGGCTTAGAATGTTTCCTGCACTGTAAATATGTGAAAGCTATTATTAAATTAGAAAAAAAAATGTATTCACAACATAACACACCTGTACGGTGAGGAAGGTGCAGATTCTTAACAGCAGCTCCCTCCTTCCTCCAGCTGGTCGGCCTCTCCCTTACAGCAGTGACTTTTTCCTGAGCTCCTGACAGAACAGGGTAACTTCTCTCAAACCACACCTGGTGAAGGAAGAAGTACGTACTGCAGGCCCCTAAAATGAAGCCCAGCGAAAAGCCCAATCTGGAGCTGAAGCCTTTCATGGCGATAATGTCTCCACAGCTGCGAGGTCCAAGTTATTGCATGTCTACATGAAACAGCACCACACTCAGTCAATTTGATGCACAGCCAAACCACAAAGGCCAACAAATATCAGTCATTAAACGTCTTTTGCGTTACATGCGTAAGGTGCTTGATAGCAGACTGACTGCATGTAGTTGTACAATTAATTTTGCTATCATTGTTTTCTTTTTTTAATTGCAATAATTTTAAAATTATAATACTTTGCCTCATGATTTTAGTCTTTGAAAAATGTCATTAAAAAACTATTTGAATGTCTATGAAGTCATAGCGCGCTGACACAGCAGTAGACATGCGTTTAATGTATAATGTGCACAAATGACGACATAGTGATTAACTTCGCTGCTCGTGCCTAGAGAAGCCGTTTGATTTATTATGGTGACGTCACGTCAAGACCTCCTCCTTTTGTTTAGTTTAAAGACGGGATGATTAAAACTAATATTAGCAACACTTAAATTCAGTTTGTCGCTGGAGCAAAAAAGACTAGAGAAGTGCTTTTGACACGCACTTCATAACTAACTGTCAGCGGGCCGCTGGCAGTGTTTTTCATTGCGTCTGATGAGGTTAAAGACCCCAAATCCGAGACAGATGTTAACGATTAACGTGACGAGAAATGTTTATGGCAAAGCAGCTTCTCTCCTGTATGCTGCTCTTCTACTTTATCCAGACGATAAATAAAATGACATGACAATCTGGTTACAATAATCAGGGATTCGTCCGTTGAGACAATAAATGAATAAACACGACAGAAACTGCTTGGCAGCAAAACGAGGCCAAAGGGAACCCAGATCGCTTTCCAAATGAAATAAATCAATACCAAAAGTTTCGTGTATGTCCACTGAGTAAATAAATGAGAAATACAAGCCTTTAAGAGACTCCCTCCCTCCTGTATGTTATTTACCTTTGCTGGGGATCAGTCATTTGTGAGCACGATGTGCTTGTCACCCCAAGGAGCAGCTAAAGTATTTCGTGAAAAACAGCACAAGGACGCTACACCTGTCGAGCACACGGCTACATGCAGGTCTCATTCATCCGAAATACTGTTTCTCAGTGAAGTCCTCCCTGCACTGTGTCGCCAAATAAGATGATTACCAGCAAAGAAAAGCTTCTGAGTAGAATTACATTCTTCTACCTCGCGGTGGGTAAGCTCTGAAAATGAACGCTGCCATTGGTCGCCTGTCGGTGACGTATGAGGAAGCGCTCGTCCGAGTCCTGAGAAATAATAATTGTTTCAGATGATCAAGATTTGTTTGTCACAAGTGACACTGGTTTTTCGGAGACGCCGGTGAGACAGTTAAAGGGTAACGCTAAATGATGGCGACGACTTGTCGTCTGCAAATAATCGCCACTAGGTGTCACCCTTACAACGGCTCCAAAAGGCTTCAAGCCAGCTCCAGCAATCATAAGCACTTTACGTTAATGCAAGCTACCTAACCAGAGCTACTGACTCCACTTTCAAACAGAACTCGGAAATTAAAGTACATTCCGAGTCACCTGTTGCCCTGGATCCCCATTTCGTCTCTTGCAGTTAAAGGCAACCTGGCTATAACTACCTGCTCAGCTCCCCAGTTAGTAAAGACGTTTTGATGCTACCTTACAAAAGCTTACATACCTTACATAACCAATAAAACCATGGCTATGATCCTGTTTTTATCTCTGTTCTACAGCTGGGTTCTTAGCTTGCTCCAGATAAGCAAATGTAATATATACAACAAATGTGACTCAATGTAAAGCTTAAAAAATTTAATGTATTTAAATTTACAACATATACAAAAGTGCTAACAAAGCACTTTTGAAGGGGACTAAATTTCTAGAGTTTTGATGTTCTTGAACCTCTAAACACACACAGTTCAATTCATTTGTAGGTCATTTTCACCTCTTGTAAACAGTCATTTGGTATTGTGGTGGAAATCCAAAGTCAAACTGTGAGAGTAATAGGTGTTTTCTCTTTCATTTAGTAACTTCTGCAAAGACAGCAACACTGTAATGCAAATGTATCACTTCTGAGGAGGAAGTGCTTTTTTTGTCTTGTGCAAAAAGAATGTGTTAACAGAGTACGAGCAAATTTCATATATGATAAAGCTACACTTTTTATACTGTATGTACAATCTCTGTTTGTACTTTGTCTATTTAGAGCATACTGTGCACTAAGAAAGAGCTTTAACAGCTGCACAGAGCAAGACTGGTTAATGTGCATCAGCTTATATTTTTATACTGCAATATACAAAAACATAGAAAATAAAAACAAGAACATTTGATCAGAACAGATTATGCAAGCAAGTAAGCAATTAATTAAGTAATGAAATGTTAATTATTGATGCAACAAAATTAACCTCTTAAGCACACACGCCTAACCCTAAATGCGATCTCCTCCCTTTTGTCCCTGTATCTGGGGGCGCTGGTGCTTAAGAGGTTAAGCTCTAAACTAACAAGAGATGAATTCTTATAATTGTAAATACAGCAAGTGTTTCACAGCAAAGTAGGTTATTTCATTTGAGGTCCTAAAGAATAACAGAAAGGAAAATACTGTAAATGGTTACATTTTTTCAAAGCAGGAATGCATAATTGACCTTTTTTTTTTTAATTCAGAGAATCTAAAACTATGGAAGTTATTGAATTTGGGTATAAATAAATTTCCATGTTTTGTCCATTTTTACTAGTCGATAACACTAACATAGTGAGTGATGGGGGAAGTCGACTTTTGCAGATCGTTCAAGCCTGGAATGGTTTGATCACTGTTGTTGTTGGATGGATTTGAAAGGTTTTTCCTAACAAATAAAGGACTCTTTTGGGGGGTTTTTTGTTTTAGTTTTTTTGCCTGCCCTGTTTGGCTCTTCTGCCATCAGAATTATTGTCTAAAGGTGAAGAAAGATGCCCAACGGATTTACTTTACCAAATGGTCCATCCCAGCCTTACCGTAATGGTCTATTTGATTCACCTTTTATTGTTTATTTTCACTTGCTAAATACGGGACAGACTTGACTGAGGAAAAGAAAGGGGAGGAAGACAGAGGGAAAGAAAAACAGCAGAGAAGAGGGACGGGGATAAAGGGCAAAAAAAACAAAAACCAACTGTCAATGGAAAATTGTACTTAGTAGTCAGTATAATACTTTAATGATATAAGTTTGCATATGGTAGAATACTGCATGTAATCATTTGTGTTTAGAAGTATATAGTTGGTGGCATATTGAAAGAATGTCTCATCCTAGGAGGTCTGTAACATTCTTTCAAGGTGCTCTAGCGTCCACCCCCACATCCTGGGAGCATGGGAAGAGGTTGTACCTTGTCTTATTGTTTTTACGGTAGGATTAACGTAGCTATATCAGTTTTAGTCTAAGTGCTTTTTGGTTTGATGAACTGCTGGACTTCGAGACCAGCAGGTTTAGGGAAGTCTTTATGGGGTCACACTCTGACCCCACACACACACACACACACACACACACACACACACACACACACACACACACAAGCACCCACTGAAGTATAAATAAAGACCGGGGCAGTCCTCAGCGCGAGCCTCAGTGCTGGAGGCTGCCCTTGCTAGCAAGAAGTTCTGTGTGTTTCTCTTCTCTGACTCTTTACTGAAGAAGTGTTTTAGAGTATATTTCTTGACACCAACAAAATAAGCAGACAAAAAATACATATATCAATCAGCTGGATCACCTGTTGAGAAAGAAAAAAGAAAACGAGCAGAAGAAAAAGAGAGCAACATAATAAACAACATCACGATGATATATGGGAATATAACAGTAAATACTAAATATTAAACATTATTGTGCAGCACGTAAGATCGACAGCGCACAGTGTGCTTTGAGGTAGGAGCCAAAAAGGGTGTAGTTTGTGTGTGTGAGCACCCGTGTGTACACCTGTGAGCATGGACGCGCTTGTTTTTAAAAGGTTCCTTCATGTAATGATCTGCTAGAGGGTGTGGGGGGGCCACAGCCCCGTCCTCCAGGGCATGAACAGGTATGGAGGAGATCAAGACTCCAGACATCCAGAGGCCCTCAGAGCACAAGAGACCAAGGAAGACCAACAGAGGGGCAGCCGCGCCACTGTCCCAGAAAGAGCTGGCGAGAGTCCCAGATGAGGGCTCACTCAGCAGCCACGGAGCAGAAGCCAGGGGGGGTTGCAGTGACGCGCCCGTGAGCTCCGCCGGCAGCCAGCTGTGCCTGAGTGACCGAGGCTCCAGGCTCCAGGCCCCAGGCCCCGATAAGCAGCCACCAAGGAGTGAGCCGGTGTGTACCTGGACGCCCATTCCCGGACACAAAGAACTACCAACGCACCGATGTCTGAGGGAGTCCGCCACTGGCAGGGGAAGTGGTGGTGGGGGGAGATAGGCCTCCATACCTTGGAGGGCCTGAGATGTCCCCAGAGAGGTGGCGTCTGATACCCAACCTGACATATAGACACAGACATACAGGCACACACAGACACAAACATCCATTCCCACCCTCATGCTCTCATATGCAATTACTCAACACTCACCCAACGTGGAGACAGACATACAGGGAGTGTAGAATTAAGATAAGATAAGATAAGATAACCTTTATTAGTCCCACACGTGGGAAATTTGTTTTGCAATTGTTTTGCAATTATTAGGCAAGTTGTATTTTTGAGGAATAATTTTATTATTGAACAACAACCATGTTCTCAATGAACCCAAAAAACTCATTAATATCAAAGCTGAATATTTTTGGAAGTAGTTTTTAATTTGTTTTTAGTTTTAGCTGTTTTAGGGGGATATCTGTGTGTGCAGGTGACTATTACTGTGCATAATTATTAGGCAACTTAACAAAAAACAAATATATACCCATTTCAATTATTTGGTTTTACCAGTGAAACCAATATAACATCTCCACATTCACAAATATACATTTCTGACATTCAAAAACAAAACAAAAACAAATCAGCGACCAATATAGCCACCTTTCTTTGCAAGGACACTCAAAAGCCTGCCATCCATGGATTCTGTCAGTGTTTTGATCTGTTCACCATCAACATTGCGTGCAGCAGCAACCACAGCCTCCCAGACACTGTTCAGAGAGGTGTACTGTTTTCCCTCCTTGTAAATCTCACATTTGATGATGGACCACAGGTTCTCAATGGGGTTCAGATCAGGTGAACAAGGAGGCCATGTCATTAGTTTTTCTTCTTTTATACCCTTTTATACCCTGGCAAGCAGCCACGCTGTGGAGTACTTGGACGCGTGTGATGGAGCATTGTCCTGCATGAAAATCATGTTTTTCTTGAAGGATGCAGACTTCTTCCTGTACCACTGCTTGAAGAAGGTGTCTTCCAGAAACTGGCAGTAGGACTGGGAGTTGAGCTTGACTCCATCCTCAACCCGAAAAGGCCCCACAAGCTCATCTTTGATGATACCAGCCCAAACCAGTACTCCACCTCCACCTTGCTGGCGTCTGAGTGGGACTGGAGCTCTCTGCCCTTTACCAATCCAGCCACGGGCCCATCCATCTGGCCCATCAAGACTCACTCTCATTTCATCAGTCCATAAAACCTTAGAAAAACCAGTCTTGAGATATTTCTTGGCCCAGTCTTGACGTTTCAGCTTGTGTGTCTTGTTCAGTGGTGCTCGTCTTTCAGCCTTTGGCCATATCTCTGAGTATTGCACACCTTGTGCTTTTGGGCACTCCAGTGATGTTGCAGCTCTGAAATATGGCCAAACTGGTGGCAAGTGGCATCTTGGCAGCTGCACGCTTGACTTTTCTCAGTTCATGGGCAGTTATTTTGCGCCTTGGTTTTTCCACATGCTTCTTGCGACCCTGTTGACTATTTTGAATGAAACGCTTGATTGTTCGATGATCACGCTTCAGAAGCTTTGCAATTTTGAGACTGCTGCATCCCTCTGCAAGATATCTCACTATTTTTGACTTTTCTGAGCCTGTCAAGTCCTTCTTTTGACCCATTTTGCCAAAGGAAAGGACGTTGCCTAATAATTATGCACACCTGATATAGGGTGTTGATGTCATTAGACCACACCCCTTCTCATTACAGAGATGCACATCACCTAATATGCTTAATTGGTAGTAGGCTTTCGAGCCTATACAGCTTGGAGTAAGACAACATGCATGAAGAGGATGATGTGGACAAAATACTAATTTGCCTAATAATTTTGCACTCCCTGTAGAGAGACACTGTACATACAATCACACTCCCCAAGCGTACTCTAAACCCCGGGTCTAGGTACCCTTGCCCCTGGAAGGGGAAACTGCACCCAGACCCAGGTGGTGTTACCCTTTTCCCTGGGGTGGGGAGAAGCAGACCGCCCCGACGGGGGCTGTGTGAAGACTCCAAACCTCCCTCCGCCCGCTCATATGTAGTGTTGATGCATGTGTGTTCTAA